ATATATTCTCATCTTTCATCATATCAGGGAAGTTCTCTTCCAACAAATCTTGGACAATTTTCTCAGTGATTTTCTTTTTCTCTTCCTGTTCTGGAATTCCAACGACACATAAGTTATTCCTTTTGATTGTATCCCACATGATCTTTAGGCTTTCTTCATTTTGTTTTGATCTTTTCTCAACTGATCCCTTTTCAAAGAAGTATTCAGATACTTGTCTTCAATCTCATTAATTCTGTCTTCCATTGCATCAATTTACTCCTCTGCCCTTTCAATGTGTCATCTATTTCTGACAATTTAGTATTAATCTTCTGGATTTCTATCAGTAGATTTTGAATCATTTCTCATTTTGTTCTTGTATTTTCTTCCAAAATTCTTCTAGGGATTTGTCTGTGTTTTCCTTGATCTGTCTCTCAACCCTTTGAAGATACCTAAATATAATTCTTTTGAATTCCTTATCAGGGAGTTCCAATGTTGCTTCTTCTTCAGGGATGAGTTCTGGATCTGTATCCTGCTCCCTTGTTTCTACCACTTTATCTTGCTTCATTGTGTAGACTGTGATGGTCTGTTGTATCCAAGACATTGTGCCATTGTTGTATTTAGATCTCTGTTAACTGTTTGTGAAGAGCAGCTAAGGGTGAGTCAGGCTCTTCTTGGTGGTGGTTTATCGTAAGCGTGTTGGTAGAGGAGGAGGTGGTAACTCTCAGTAAGTGAAGCTGCAGGATGTGTGGGTGTAGTTGTGTCATATGGGGACTGTTGCTGTCTCCCACTCAGTTAGACAAAAATAACAATTGAATAACCATCAAAATAGTAAAAGCAAATGGACAAAAAACACACCGTGTAATCACACAGGAACAGTAACAAAAAAGAGAAAAGAGGAAAAACAACAACAACAAAACAAAACACAAAACACCTCAGTATCTGGGGAGAGGGCAATAAGAGGAAAAAGTAGAGAAGGAGAATAATGAAGAAAAAAATGGGAAAAATGCAAAAAGAAAAACAAGGAATGGGGTTAACCATGAGAAAGAAAAAAGAAAATTGAAATCAGGAACAGAGAAAAGAAAAAAAGCTGAAAACTAGAACCTGGGAAAGGAAGAATAAAGAATAATAATAAAAAGGACAAAAGTAATGATAATAGGAGTAGTTTTAAAACAGACCAAAACAAACAAACAAAGAAAAAAGAAAAAAGAAAAAAAAATTTGGAGCAGGATGGGGCAGGGCACCCAGGCTCCTCCAACCACACAGACTGGGATGGAATTCTTGCCGGCCTAGAAAGTGGCGGGGGGAAGGGGGGGAGTAAGGGATGGCCACACCTTCGTTCATCAAGAGGATGTAAGATGTAAGAGTAACAAGGGGAATGTTGCACCTTTCCAGTATTCCATGTCTGAAATGTCCTTTCGATTCCCAGCAAGTGGAGCCTGTTCTTAAGTCCCTGGAATCTGCGAGAATACTATTGCTTTAAATATCCAAAATGGTCAAGCTGCTTGTAAACATTCAAAATGGCTGCGCCCTCTGGACAGGCAAAAGTCCAGAGCCCAGCCCACCTTCCTCTTCGCTGCTTCCCCTTTTATTTACCAGCCACCAGAACAGTCTTCCATGCAGTCCCTGGCTAGCAGGGCTGATTTTTAGGTTAATTCTTAGGTCCTACCACCACTTGGCAATATCCAAGCTGTCTGTGCCATCAGGATTGCTGCCAGACCTCAACTCCGTATGTCTCCTTTTTTGGTGTTTTCATGCAAATTCTTCTGCTAGTTGGAATTTAGTCCACTTCTATATCCTTCCCTTCAAAGCTCAGGGGTCCAGGATTATCTTCTGTGTCTGTGTTAATTGGTTCCTGTTTTCTTTGTTGAAGAGGGTCTGTGCAGTCTTTCTGCCTATTCTGCCATTTTACCAGAACTTCTCAGTGGTGAGAATTCCGGAGAGGGAGTTTCACATGTTCGTTCATCTCTTGGGCAGAGGGCAAGGTAAATCTGAAGTTGCAAGGTGTATGTTTTTTGGGGAGTAAAATCAATTCCCTTCTCACAAAGGCATTGCCTTAGGAATGATTGATTTAAACTGGTTGTGTTAGACTGGGTTCTCTAGGGAAACAAAAACCAGCAAAGGTTACATATATGTAGAGAGAGAGAGAGAGAGAAATTTATCTTAGGAAAATGGCTCACATGTGTGTAGAAGCCGGCAAGTCCAAAGTTCCTGGATCAAACGTCAAGCAAGAGGCTTTTCCTGGCTCCAGTAACTACAGGGGCCAAGAAGCTCAAGGCTGGCAGGCAGTACACTGGCTGTTGACTCCAACGAATGACGAATCCAAGACCTCCAGGCTGAACAGTGAACTGTTCACTCATGGACAGTTGTAGGCAGCACAACAGAATCCCAATCCACAGAAGAATGTCTCTCTTCCCAAGATGTCCTGGGATATACTGGAAACAGGCCACACCCCTAGGGAAACTCCCCTTGAACAGATTGTCCACTCAGAACACAGTCATCCCATCCTATCATGGGAACAACCATACAGAACTGGGGTCCAGCCAAGTTAACACACAGCTCCAACTATCACACTGGTGTTTATCCCTGCACTGTTGTATCAGAAATATGACAGAGTACAAACAAGGTTAGCTTTTGAATTCTTCTTAACTGTGTCACTCTTAGGAGCTCTAGTGGGATAATGCCTAAGGTATTTGACTGCTAACCAGAAGGCTGGCGATTCAAACTCACCATCTACTCCTCGGAAGGAAGACGGGGCAATCTATTTCCGTGCTGATACCGCCTCGGAAACCCAAGGAAGGGTTGCTATGAGTTGGATATGATTCTACAGCAGTGTGTTTGTTTTTGGTTTGGTGTCACTCTTATCTTTTAACTACTTCTGTGAACATCATCAAATTATAACCAGACTGCTGTCAGCTAATACTATGTGAGTGAGAGGGAGGTTTTTCTAGAGTATTAGTCTGTTGTCCCTTTTGTTCCTACATATAGGCTAGGTGACAAGGAGATCAAGGAGTAGAAGATAAAGAAAGATCTTATCCCCACCATTCCTAAAATATATTTAATTGGTAACCTTATTGCTTATCACTCAGTAGAGTACCATGACTCACTGTAAATGTATTCTTTTATCCTTTGGTAGGGAGCATATTTATTTTGGCTTATTTTCATGTTGGTGGTAAAATATTGGGGGGGAGAGGCAGACTAGAGATTGTTGTTGTTGTTGTTGTTATGTGCTGTCAAGTTGCACCCTACTATAGTGGCCCCTCCTTGGGTTTCCGAGGCAGTATCACTACGGAAGTAGATTACCCCATCTTCCTTCTGAGGAGTGGCTGGTGGGTTTGAACCGCCAACCTTCTGGTTAGCAGTCAAGTGCCTTAGGCACTAAGCTACCAGAGCTCCTAGACTAGAGATAGTAACACAAAAAACTAAGATACTGCCGTCAACTACAAGTTGAAATTTAATTCTGATGTTTTCAAGATTATTTATATCACCACTTGGTGGTGCTCTTTTATAAGTTAAAGCATTGTCAAAAACCCAAGGAGAACCTCTTGCTAATTAGGGGTTATCATTATTGTTGGGAGTTCTGGTAGCATAGTGCCTAAGGCACTTGACTGCTAACCAGGAGGCTGGCGGTTCAAATCCACCAGCCACTCCTCGGAAGGAAGGTTGGGCAATCCTACTTCTGTAGTGATAACTGCCTCGGAAACCCAAGGAGGGGTCACTAGGAGTCGGGGCCGACTCTATGGCAAATAACAACAACAACATTATTGTTAGCTGCCCAGGAGTTGGCCTGACACATGGTGACCCATACACAATGGAATGAAATGCTGCCCAGTCCTGCACCATCTCCTGATCAGTTGAGGATTGGACTGTTGTGATCCATAGGGTTTTCATTGGTAATTTTTGGAAGTATATTGACAGGCCTTTCTTCCTGGATTGTCTTAATCTGGAAGTTCTGTTGAAACTTGTTCAGCATCATAGCAACACGCAGCCTTCTGCTTTCCACTGATAGACAAGTAAGGACTTCACTTGAGGTGTGTTGGCCAGGAATTGAACCCTGGTCTCCTGCATGGACGATGAGAATTCTGCCACTTAATCCTTTTCTTTATGGCGGTTCAAATGAACTCAACCGCTTGATGGTATAATATGTAGCCTCCTCAGGTATTGGTTGTGTATTTTGATTTAAACTGTAGTATATGTAATTAAAATTTTGATATTTTAATATTTTTTCAAGATTATGCGTATTTTTTTATTTCTTGCTTTAGTATATAAATTTAGTACTTTTTTGATGACTTAACTTTTTCCCCTTTTTTATCATTGTAGATAATTTAGAAAATGTATCCAGAATTAATGAATTAATGAAGAAAATGAAAACCACTCATAACCTAGAGATAATCATTAACATTTTGATGTATTTTTACTTTCCCTTCATTTCTTTTTCTTTTTTACAAAATTATAACCAACCTATACACAGAATTTATCTTAACATTATAGTTTGAGTGTTTCTGTATGTCCTTATGTTCTTTGAAAATGCTTTAAAAGTTTATATTATTCCATGTTATAGCTCTGTCATAATTTACTTAGCCATTCTATTATAAGGTATTTAGGCTTTCCCCACTATTATTTTGCTTTTCTATTATATTCAAATCTTTGAACATTTATGACATGAAATTTGAACTTTTATTTGCATTGGATAAATTCTTAGATGTAAAACAATATGAGCTATTTTAAAGATCTTGATGAATATCAACAAACTGTTCTTCAAATAGCATTCAGAGGTTCAGCATTTTCAAATATGTTTATTGGCAGGTACTGTTTTTTCTTTTGAAAAATGCTTGTTCTTATCCTCTGCCCACTTTTTTCTTTGTTTTCTATTTTGATTTTTGGTGATTCTTTTGACTAAGTGGGAAGAACTATTTTTCTTGTCCTTAAGTAATTTTTAAAGTGCTATTCTAAACACATTTCACAATTTTCATGTAAATTTTCAATTACAAAAATCAGTTACAGATTTTAGGTTGTAAATTGCCACTGGGAAATGAGACCTGAAGCTTGAGAGAGCAGCCAGAGCTGGAAATTCAGAGATGAGATGGGAGAACCATCTGTATACAGATGAGGGAGGTGCAATGGGAGTGGATGAGATTGTTGAGGAAAAGCAAAAACAAACCAGATGTTGTCGAGTCTGTGGTGACCCTATGTGTGCCAGAGTAGAACCATGCACAATACCATTTAAGTGGTTGATTTTTCAGAAGTAAATAGCCAGACCTTCCTTCTCAGGTGCCTCTGGATGGACTTGTTAATATCCAATTGACCTTTCGTGAAGCACATTAACTGTTTACACCACCCAGGGACACTGAGAAAAAGGGAAGAGGGTGGAAAAAAGACCTTGGGGTTAGAAAACAGTGAAAAAAACTGTGAGGGAGAAAGAAAAGGGAATGAAGGTATTAGAATTTTTTCAGAAACTTGGGGGAAAAAAGTTTCTTGGAGGTAGAGGGAGTTGAATTACAATGGTGTTGGATGCTGTATAGAGGTCTTTGTGAAACCAAAAAAAGGCCATTTGATTTAGAAATGCAGAGAACTTTGGAGCCTTAAAGAATAGGTTCAGTAGAATATAGTGTTTGTGTCATGAGAGGTATGTGGATATGTCCATTGGGTGCATTGTGTGTGTACTGTGAGAGTGTGTAGAAGGTGTGTGTATGTGAATAGTGAGAGTAGTGAGAGGTATACATGTATGGGGAGGGAGAAGTGTGTGAATAGTGGAGACAGTAACTTGGTAAGGACCAGGGATGGAGGGAGTTGTTTTTCTTTTATTTTAAGGTAATTCAGTTTTGTTGGTAATCAGAGGAAATCTTTTAGAGAGGGTATTGGTAGAGCAGGGAGCTCTGGTAGCATAGGGCCTAAGGCACTTGACTGCTAACCAGAAGCCTGGCAATTCAAACTCACCAGCCACTCCTTGGAAGGAAGATGGGGCAATCTACTTCCGTAGTGATATGCCTTGGAAACCCAAGGAGGGGTCGCTATGAGTTGGGTCCAACTCGACGGCACATAACAACAACAACAACATTGGTAGAGCAATTATAAATGACAGAAGGAGGAATTAATAAGTAAGGTCTTGAAGTAAATGAGGGGTAATGTGGTCCAGAGTGGGATTAGGCCAGTTAGAGTTGATACAAAGAAGCTACATGACAATTAATTCCAAACTCACTGCCATCATGTTGATTCTGACTCACAGTGACCCCCATGGGGTTTCAAGGCAGTAAATCTTTACAGAAGTAGATTGCCCCCATCTTCCTTCTGCAGAGTGGCTGGTGGATATGAACCATCAAACTTCTGCTTAGCGTTGTGCCTTTATATGAAGGTAGAGATGAGATTTTCAGTGGTAAATTTGGTGATTAGATTGATGCCTTTCATTTAGGCACTGTTTATATCTCATGATCTTGTGTTGAATTGTGTGGACTGTGTCCTAATGAATTCTAGAGCTTTTTTAAAATAAACAAAGTGATTTAGAGTAGGAACTTGTAATAGAGTCCAGTATTCATGGTTACATAAAAATTTCCCTCTAACAAATCTTGACGGCATCCAGGTATAATAAGCTCATCACAGGTTTTGTTGGTTACAACCAAATGCAAACCTTTTCCATATATTTATAGTAATATTTTAATCTAGAAATTCTACTTCTAGGACACTCTCCTAGGAAACTGATCATTTTCTTTGTATAGAGACACAAAAATACTTGCAGTATGACTGAATTGTCCAGTTTTATACCATTGATCTCATGTGTATTCTGGGTCCCGCTAAAGAATGAAATCAAATATTAGTGTTTAAAATATCTCATATGCTCTTTTAAAAAATATCTCATTCTGTTTTTAGTGAAAGTTTACACAGCAAATCCAGTTCTCACTTAACAATTTCTGTACATTTTTTTGTTCAGTAACTTGGTTTACATTTTTCATAGTATGTCAATATTCTCATTATTTCCATTAACCTAGGTTTCCTGCCTTCTCTGACCTTTTCATCTTTGATTTAGGGCTCATGCAGTTTTTTTTTTTTTTGTTGAAAGAACACAGTACTTAGCAGTGACAATGTTTATTTTATGAACTTATATGTTACTTAACTGAAAGGTAACCTCCAGAAGTGTTTCAGTTCCAGGTTTAAAGGGTGTCTTGGGGATAGTTCCTCTGGTCTCTACTGGTCCAGTAAGTCTCTGGTTTTTTTTTTTTTTTAAATTTGAGCTTTGTTCAACATTTTCATCTCTTTTTATCCAGGACCACTTAATGTGCCCTGGATAATGTGTCTAACTGCAGAAGAGTTGGTAATGGTACCTAGGCACCATCTAGCTGTTCTGGTCTCAGAATATTTGAGACCGTGGTTCATGTGATCTGTTAGTCCTGTAGAGTAGTTTCGTCTTTCAGTCTTTGGTTTCCATCTTTCTCTTTTGCTCCAGAACAGTAGAGACTAATAGTTGTGTCTTAGATGGCCACTCACAAGCTTTAAAGGTTCCAGATGCTATTGACAGCCTAGGATGTAGAACATAAACTTTATGAACCCTATTATGCCACCTGACCAAGATGTCTCATCAGACTGTGGTCCTAAGCCTTCAAACCCAGTGAACCAATCCCACAAGGTATTTGGGTATGTCTAGAAAGTATCTGTAATTATGCCCCATGTGCTTTATTATATATGTATGAATATATGTGCAGCACAGACAAATGTGTATAGCTGTGCCTACAGGTACACCAATATGTGCACACATGCACACACACATACCTTCCTATACACATACATGCATATGTATCTACCTGTGTAGCTACATGTGTATTTTTTGGTTGCTGTCGCTACTGTTGTGAAATTGTATATATTATAGCATTTACCAGAAACATCCCTTATTCTTTTTCAGTGTCATCATTTACCTCAGTCAAGTTGTACAGACTTCATCTGCATTTGGTATTGCCTTTCCCATCACCAAAAATAACAAGAAATTGAGTCCCCCTCTCTATCCCTCCCATCCCTGGTAACTACCAAAGAACATTGTTTTCTGTATGTGTAGCTATTTTCTTTTTATAAAAACGAGATCATATAATATTTGTCCTCTTGTGATTGACTTACTTCAGCCAGCGTAATGTCCCCCAGATTCATCCATATTATAATGTGTTTTGAGAACTCATCATTATTCATTTTAGCTGTGTAGTTTTGCATTGCATGTATGTACCACAATTTGCTTCTCCAGTCATCTGTTGGTGAGCATTTAGGTTGTTGCTCATATGCTTTTTGGTCTCAAGTATAAAAGGATAGATGAAAGTAAATAAATAAGAAAAAACACTTTATCCAAATGTAGATTAATTGAAATGTAGCTACAACATGACAAGATTTATAAATTATTTGAAATAAAGGTAACACATTTGACTTACAAGAAAGTTCCTCAGTTCCTCCTAAATAATGTTATTTATATATTGCATTTGGACAGTTTGTAATATCAGATGATATAATTGTATTGTGTAGAATTGTGTTGGCATTGTCCTAATAAAACTTGCTTTTTTAAAAAATAAATTAACATTCATAACTTTAGCAAGTTACTTGGTTTTTCAGCCTTTAAAAAATTGGACTGGACTTGCTGGAAGCAGGCACATTGAGAGCAGTGAGGTTCAACAGATTATAGCTTGAGAGAAAGGAAAACCCCAAAACAAGGAGTAAGCATAAAAACAAAATAACAGTGTGAAGTGGTGTTTATTGTAACCTGGTGGTGTAGTGGTTAAGTGCTCTGCTACTCACCAGTAGGTTGGCATTCCTTAGGAGAAAGACATGACAGTCTGCCTCCAGAAAGATTACAGCTAGGAAGCCCTGTGGAGTAGGTCTATTCTGCCTTATAGGGTCTCTAATTCAAAATCGCCTCAATGGCAATGGGTTTGGTTTGCTTTATTATTGATAAGCTGAGAAATTAACACAAAAGTGATGTTTGTTTATTTTGTTAAAATATAAAACCAAACCAAACCCATTGCCGTCAAGTCAATTCTGACTCTTGTTATACTTTATATAACATGTATGACATATATGGTCTAAATAGGAGCCCTGGTGGTGTAGTGCCTAAGGCATTTGACTGCTAACCAGAAGGCTGGCAGTTCAAACCCACTAGCTACTCTTCGGAAGGCAGATTGGGCAATCTACTTCCGTAGTGATACTGCCTCGGAAACCCAAGGAGGGGTCGCTATGAGTTGGATCCTACTTGATGGCAGTGAGTTTGGTTTTTTTTTTTTTTTTTGGTTTATAATCTAAATATAATACATATTAAATAAAATTTAAGATGTAAGTATTTTAATTTAATAACTAAAAATATTAGTATAAATATAACAACCAAAACCAAATCCACTCCCATCGAGTCAATTCCAACTCATTGTAACCCTATAGGACAGAATAGAACTGCCCCATAGCAGTAAATAAATAAATCTTTAAGGAAGCAGACTTCCTCATCTTTCTCTTACAGAGTGGCTGGTGGGTTCGAACTGCCGACCTTCTGGTTAGCAGCCAAATGCCTTAACCACTGCGTCACTAAGTATAAGTATACATAAAATATAACATGCAAAATATATTGTCTCTATAAAATATGTAGGAGCTCTGGTAGCATAGTGGCTAAGGCACTTGACTGCTAACCAGAAGGCTGGCGGTTCAAACCCACCAGCCACTCCTCGGAAGGAAGGTTGGGCA